ATCTATTTACAACTAACTAAATTTGATTCTTTAAAATAATGTAAGTGTATTATTCTGTTATTTTATTGGTGCCATCAGAATCTTTATTGATAATTTAATTTTAATCATTACTTTTTTGTAAGTTTTTTAATTGAATCGTCAAAATATTTTTTATAGTATTCAACTTTTAAAATTAAGAAAGCTATTGCGCACAATCATGAAAATGTACTATACACACAATGCCACAGTCATGTAGCTTGTATCATATTTATGATGAGTACATTTAAATATTTAAAAATGGACTATATTATGACCATATTATTCAATCTCCAAATTAAATAATTATGAAGTGTGTCTTTCAGATTTAGAGTATTTCATTCAATTGGAAGGTAAATGTTTGTATAATATAGGTGTCTGGTGCTGTACTGCTGCTTGTAAATATAATAACACAAAAAAGTAATAATTATTTACTTATTGAAATAGAATACGCTGTAGATATTTATTTTAACGATATAGTCGTTAATAATAATAACGGTGAATAGACCGCAGTGTGTCAGCGTGGTGTTTTAATAATATTAATAAAAAATAAATAGTTGTAGGTAGGAGTCAAAATATTGAATAAGATTTAATATAATATCCATTTATGATCATGCTATTGGTTATTTTGTAATCCTGTGATTAAACAAATACTGTTCAATTAATGGACTAAAATCCTACTAAAATCACTATAATCTTTTAAAGCTGCAAACTTGTTGAAATTGTTCAAACGTCTTTTAAAACAAAACATAATTTATGATAATATTGTTATGTTCTATGTAGGTATAGTTCATCTGAATCTTGAAATAATATGCAACCACACGAGATACGGGACACTGAACAGTTCTGGCAGGGGGGGGGGGTCGTAGATAACCATAGTAATCATTTACATAGTATTAGGTATAACGATATATTCCAAAAAATCATAACTTTAATTATTATAAATAGTCTTAGATTAGTCTACATATAGATAGGTAATTTAAATGAAACCTTTCTCGTGAAATAGAAAGGCAATTAATGATATGTTGAAGGTCAGGTATGTTCCCACAGTTAGATGGGACTCTGCAGTATGAACTATTATTGACCCCCAGTTTGTAGGGGTGGTATTGTTGTAGGTTGTGGCCGGTGCGTAACTTGGAGCATATATATTATTTAGAAAAAAAATAAAATGATTAAAGAATATTCAATGTATATAATTTACTAAATTATACATTTATACGGCTGATTTTTAGAGAAAAAAACTATGGTCCCTATACTCGGGTCTTAGCTGCTTAATTTGTAACATAATACGTATAAGCAACAAAAATAAAAATCCAAAAATAGTTTTATTAATAATAATTGATAACGCAAATACTGCGATACGAGTATTGGGTACGACACTACGTAGCATGCATAGTACATACGTGCAGGGGCAGACTGGCCAAGGGTGCTATAGGGCCCCGGGCCTCCATTCGTATTTATGACATGGGCTTCCGATTACCACTTTCGGTCCTTTTTTAATATAACTCTTATTGTAACGTAGAATAGAAAGATAAATTATAATAGAAATCGACAAAACTGTTGTTATAATATTTATAATATAACATCGTATTACTCGGGTATACGTAGTTGAAACAAATATAAATAAAATAACTGCATACATTTAAAAATATCATTGAATCACGGTTGTATATATTACTTACGGTACGTGATTCGTTAAATCATAAACAGAATACGTCTAGTCTATGCACAAGACGCATAAGACACATTTCACGCAATGCTGTACACACCTCGGATGATGGAGGATGATTGACGATATCGACGGATGGTTTTCAATTGTTATTTAATTTTATAATCTTCTTTTACCCAGAAATGACAGTGACAGTCGTTGACGATAGGACATATTCATAGTAATCATATTAATTTAAAATGGTACAACGATATTTGGTTTCAGATTTGTCTATTTTAGTAAAACTATAATAATTTTTTTTTCTCGGTTATCGTCGATGATAATCTGCACAGTAACTGTAAAACCTATATGTCTATGCAGATTGTTATTAAATTATTAAACTTATTTTATTTCCACGAGTTTATTACTTAAGAAATTAAGACATATTAATTAGAACCATTATGCAGGTACTCCGAAAATTGTTTATCAATACGATGATTGATGACGGATCGTAATATAGGTATAACACTACTATATTAGTAGAAAAAAAAAAACACAAAAATTATTTTTAATATTAATTTTTTATTTTCGTAATTTTACAATACGGTAATTAGTAGTTGTAATGAACTACGAAAATAATCGAAAAACTTGTGCTGCCCTTGTCGCCCCCCTTAGATCCACGCCTGAGTTCTAGAGGGATGAATTTGGGTGGAAATTGTTTTGGTCTACCACATATAAATATAAAATAAATAGTAAGCAAATATACGTTATACCTGATATACCTATGTCAGTAAAATATATACTCAGAAAATCGTTTTCACAGTACATACCTATATACTATGATATGGTTTATCATTGAACTCAAAATTAACATAATAATATTATATCCATTACAGTGATCTTGGCAAAGGTACTTATAAGTTACAACTCACGCTTTGAATCTATTATATTTAAGTGCGAATTAACCAATTTGTCAAATGGCATAGTTATTCTTATATTTTATATTTTTAAATATAATAAAAAGAATATATTATAACACGAAATATGACACCCAGGGTTGAGATACACAAACACATAATAGAAGATAGTTTTAGTACTGCGGGTACCTATAACGCAGAGATGCGTCTTAACTATAATATAGGAACTGCAGTTACACACGTACAATCAGAGATATGAAAAGGGTGAGAGACGACTCCCGGGTTGGGTCAAATAGGGCAAGTGCTCTACGGCGGCTAAAATCTTAACATTTTAAAGTGTGTCAAATTTTTAAATATGTATGTCTAATAGGGGTGACAAATCAATTGTCCTGAAGCCAATGAATGTGAACTCCAAAATCATAAATAATTATGGGGAAGGGTAGGTGGTATGAGTCAGCATAGTTTGAAAACAAATATTCGTGTCTTGTAAACGATAACGATTTTGGACCATAATATTATTGTAATAATATTGTACTGCTATTTTTGTACCTTTTTTTCAGGTGCTTATAAAAAAGAACTGTGACTTATTTAATTTATAAATAATCTTAAATTTTAATTACATATATTTTTCTACCAGAAACTGAAGATAAAATTGAAACAAATATCATTGTGAAATCAAAATGTCAAAACTTCGTTCAGAATCTAAAATAATAACATTAATAATATATTTTAAATTGTAACTTTTTTAAATTTAATTCCAATATATATTTTGCAATAATAAGTAGGTAAAAATTGTTCAAATTGTTCCGTCATATTGGTCTATTTTTGTAACATTGTTATTCTAAATCAGTGGTTCTCAACATTTTTTGGTTCACGGTACACTGTTATACATCAAAAAATTTTCACGACACTCTCACTGGACAACCAAAACAACTTCGTCGAAGGCATTAGTTATCGCCTTTACAAGTATGACATTTCTCGGGGCACAGTAGTGTGCCACAGCACACTGGTTGAGAACCGCTGTTCTAAATGTATGCTCTATAATATATATACCTTACACAAGAAAACAATTTAAGGTAATCTCTTTACAATTGAATGCTCAAAAAAAGAGCCTTTCGTTTCCAGGATAACTTTTTGACATGACTCCTTCTGACGAAGGTGGAATTGTTCAACACGTATGTAGCGCGATCACACATGCTACGCAGTACCCGTGTATTGATTGTATATTCGTATCGCTAAAATATAATATAGGTATATAAGAGTATCTGGTAAGCTATGCGTAGTGCGTAAATCGGTCTAGAGGCGTATAAATCAACCAACGGTGGCGGTGTCAGCGGCGCGCACGCGTACAGGAGGGCTGTAGTATACAGGGTGTTTTTATCCTAGTTTCTAAACAGTCCATCTTCAGTATTATACAGGGTATCTTGTCAGTCGTCACTTTTGCAGCAGTCTATATAGGAGGTGAACTGAGATGTATTTACCGGAAAGGGGATATAATGGGTACAACCCTCCTCTTGGAAATCTGCCCACCTGTGATTTTAAACCTTGTTGTGTATACAATATGTATGTAACATTTATAATACGATATTGTTTCGTTTGTAAATAATAAATTAAAAAAATTAGATAAAGATAACCGATATTTATATGAAAATTGATTTGTAAAGTGCTGAACTTAAATATTCATTTATAGATTTGTACATTTCTTTGTACTTTAGATTTAGAAAATTATAAAACAACATAATTATTACTACATTTAAGCATTTATTTTTACTTTGTTCATGATATTGAAAATTGTTTACGTTAAACATTGTATTTATGGGTTTTATTGCTAAAATATTATTTCAAACAATGCCATGTGCAGACGATGATCCCCGTTTCCTTAGCGACGCGAAATGGGTCCGTACGTTGGACCTTTATTGATCTGCCCGGGAGACTTTGATGTCGGTATGTCGACGTAGCGTCGAATATATTTTATGAGAGAGTCATGAACTCGAAAATCAATAACAGCTTCTCTCACAGCACCACCCGTGTGACATATGGGTGGGCGTGGCCCCAGGCCCGCAGGGTTGTAGATCTAGTGGTCACATACTTTATCATGATTTTTGTCATTATTATTTCAGGTTTACTTGTTTAATTCGAATCAATTTCTTTCCGGTTCACTAACTATTATTTTAATATTCAACAATAATTTTATAAAACGATTATCGACCATCGGCGCCCAATGAGCTCACGTTGTAACACGCATGTACATTTTTGTGACACTGTGGGGTTCGGTAATACGCATCCGGGAGCTGCCTACGCTCACTCGATCAGCGTACACTCAGCGCCCCACTAGTTGCTGCAGCAGTTCAGCTGCGCGTCGGTCTGTTATCAATAATAATAACTTATCGTTGTTGTTATTTTGTAACGAGTGACGCCAACAGTCGGCTGTGCAATCACATATTTTATGTAATTAAATTTTAATTACGTAATCCGTACGGCAAGCCTCTCATTCGGAAAATAAAATATAATCTTTCTTTGGCCGATTTTTTGGATATGGAACCATCAAAGCCCCCGGATTCGAAAGACGCGACAACTAATAGTCACGACAGTGCTTCGAAAATGTCGAACAACGTCGAAAGTAGTCCGGCGATATCAAGCCAAGGACAGACAAGTTCTACGGAAAACGATCAGGCGATGGTTGGCCAACCACGAAATGACAACGGCGATGAGCAACAACCACAGCCCAACGACATCGACGATCAACAACCCAGGAGTGATGCTTCCGCAAATTCCGCTTCAAACCAACAACCACCACCAAATCAAATCGCGAATGTGGCACATTGTCTTGAGGCTCAGCAACAGCAATTGCCGTTCAATGATTTCAATCCACCGATACCGATGAATGAACGCCAACTAAATGGTCCGTTTGATCGACCGCCCCAGGTAGGGCCACCAGAGCCACCGTTAAACCGTGGAAGGGAGATCGACATGGATCCCGATCCAATCATACGTAAAACTCCGCATTTCCACTTTATCTTTGGAGGCCAAGAATGGACGTACAATGATTTAGATCAAAAGGTAGAGATCAGACAGGGCCAAGTGTTCCCGGTGATTGAACGCGAACAGCTAGAGCTACAGTTGCGGATACTCCCGCCGCCACCGTTGCGGGTACTCCCGCCGCCACCGTTGCGGGTACTCCCGCCGCCACCGTTGCCGGAACTCCCGCCGCCACCGATGATACAGCAACATATAGGTATAAATGAATGCCATCGGCTACTTATGAATAGTCGCCGAACCCTAGCGTTTGATTTACCCAGACCATTGCCGTCCAATGATGTCACTCCATCTATACCGATGAATGGACGCCAACTAAATGGTCTGTTTGATCAACCACCTTACTTAATGCCAGCACTACCGCCGTTAGTCTCAAGAAGGGAGGTTGAGCCAGGGATTTTCGAGGAAATTTACTCACACAGAGCAGAGCCATACAGAGCGCGTACCATGTTTGGCCGACCTAGATGTATGGTGAGTAAAATATTATAGTCATATTGCAGAGTTCTTTACCATATTCCTGTATACATATTTTAATAAAAATATAATTCCCTACTGTTTATGAATGTCAATTGCTTGTTAAACACTGAAGACTGCTAATACACACTACTAGCCGAGCGCTAAGAAAAGCGGTTTCTAGGTTTCCAAATGAAACGATGACAGTCGTATTTAGCTGTTGTCAATAAATTGTGCCGCTGGATAGAAATTTTTTCTGCTAAATTTGTGAATATTATTATAATATACCTTCTGTCTTGTGGTGAAATGGAATTATTTTACCAACATAACAGTCTCTTATCATTTAATTAATTAATATTTTGTTGTTATCTTAACAATATTTAATTATTTAAGTTGTGTCGTAGCATTTAATTTTAAAGTTTTAAATGCATGCGGCTCTCAAATTAATTTTTTGTGCTTTCCTTAGAAGATATATTTTGGCATTGTGGATGGTAATTTACTTTGTTGTTTAAACAATGAATGCATTTATTCATAACTTCAAACATACTAAATACAGAATTGTTTCTAGTACATTTTTTTTTCCAAGTATCAGTGTTTCTTGCGAGGTAGAAATTTCGGGCATAATAAACAATGCCATAAATTTTAGCAATGTGAAAATGTTAATTTAAAACTCCAATATTTCCTACAGTGCCAGACATAGGGAGGAATGCTCAGCCTTCAGCTCTCAGCCAAAAACATCTTGTGGGCAGTGTGAATTTAAGTAAATATTAGGACATTAGGTATAAATAAAGGAATGAAAATACTTTAATAGTTTATGTTTGATGAGAAACACTCCAAAAGACAATATATACCATATTAAAAAACAGTAGATAGTATTCAGCTTTATAAACGATCTGTGTAAGATGAGAAACATATAATACATTTCTAAAAGATTTAAAAATATTATAGAATTAATTGCTGGCCTAGTTCCGAATTTGTATTATGATCAACAAAATCAAACAATTCAATTTTTAATCAGCATACTTTTAGATTTTTTCTCAGATAAATGCTCTTACAGTATTTTTATTAATTGGGTATATTAAAAAAAATGTAATTGCTTATGAATTAGCAATAATTTATGGATTTATGTAAATTATTACACTATTAAAAAAAATTGATTATATTTTGTTGATTTAGCCCTCAAGTAAAATACCATATTAGGCATTTTAATCCTGATTTTATAATTATTTGATATTTTATTTGTAAATAAATGAGTACATTTTTTAAAATAAATTTGTAATGATTGTGTTTTATTCTTAGTGTCAAGACTTGGTGCATTACAACCGTGGAAATGGTCAAATGATAACTGTGATAATGAATACTCCTAATCTGTCCCAACGATTTAGCATGACAACTTACCGATTGACACCTTTTGTAGACTTATTCAAGGCATACCATGGTTTCACCGTAAGTGTACACTAAGAACATACTTTTAATGCAATTGTTATACAATTTGATGACTAATACCATATAACATACTTAACTTATAGAGCTTTGTTAGAAATGTGATCATGTAAGTACACACATAGGTTTTTTTTTATTTTGAACAATTTAAACTCTTGCTGTTCTATAATATCTAATCATATTTATATTTATTGTTGAATGAGTAATGAATGATCTTTTAAATTTATTTTCAATTACCTACATAAAATTAATTTTAATTTATCCGTTATGGGTAGTGCTATGCTTTATGTAATATTCCACTATTGATATTGAATGAGCATTCTCTCAACTTATTGTTTTTAATTTTTATTAACTACATACTCAATGAACAGAGAACATTTAAACTATCATTAAAGTTTTTATATTTAACGTTTTATAGAAAATTATTCTATCATTTTCTTAAATATAGTACATATTTAAAATAATAAAAATTAATAATCGCATTATTATAATGATATTATCTACGTAGAATATACATAAAATATTATTTTGTTTAATATTTAATTATTTTTTCTGCTTTACATAAACTACTAAATAATATCATCATCAGGGGCCAGTAGGGGCAGTTGCTCTTCCCTTCTCATTTTACCCGATCAATTATCATAATCATTATGTATTATAAAATATCACAGATATCTTCAAATTTTTTTTTAATAATTATAATTTTATAATAAAGCTGCTGCTAGCCTACTGGCTGCAGCTCTTAACGGATTTAATAATTAATATTAAAGAACTGGAACCTCCTGGTATTAACCGATTTATAAAAATAAACTTTATCATTATTTTTAGTTGTTTTCTATTTATTTTTTTAAACTGGTGATTAGTTAAGTAGTTTGTTTTGAGAATTATACTTGGAAATACTCGAGTGTTTGAGAATTATAAATAATGTTTTTGGACATAAGTTCTCAAAAAATTCAAATAATTTGGTGATTTTCATCTATGTATCATATTTATTTTACAGAAGCTTGAAACGTTTAATTTTATAATTCCCTATTTATATAAAAGAAAACGTGTCACAACATTCTTAAATATGCATTAATATATGTGTCGTTGGCATATAGTCAAATCAGGCATTTTATTAAATGCCTATTCATATAGTCAAAGAATTTAATGTTTATGCAATTTCACCATCCGCTTAGACATTTAGTTAAATACCTAGTCATAATGACTAGGCATTTGATTAAATGTCTTTTTCATGTCAGGCAAATAATAAAAAAACATTTTGTATTATTTTAAGAATTTAAATATTTCTATAAATGTATTAAGAATTTCTATCAGTTATCTATTGCTATTTTATACATAAAAATCTATGTATTATTTATTAATATGTCAAACACATAGAGAATAAAATAATAATAATATAATAATTATGTGAAATAATATATTTAATTTCATATCCACTATTATTATTGTTTTAAAAATGAAATCATAAAAATAAACAAAAAGTTATATTTTAATTACAAGTTTTTGTTACCTATAACTTGTTGTCACATTTTGTTATTTGGTGGCATTGCTGGAGTATTTGAGATTTTTCTTAAAACATAAGCACCAATTGGTTTGACATTTAACAAAACCTTGACCATTGTAAATTGATGTTTGCTACTACTTCATATATGAACACAAATTTGTATTTTTTTACTTGGCTGTCTTCTAAGCCATTATTTGACACTAGTTGAGTTCTTCTCTTGAACACCAATTTTTTACTATACCAACTTCTGTGGCAATTTGATAAACTCCGTTCCGAATGTCTATCACTAACCCATTTATATTTTGAATATCGAGAGGTCCTTGGTCTACTTTTAGAACACTTAATACTATTTGATCACCAAACTTTTGTTCTTTAAATAGTTTTTCACTATTTTACAGTACTCATGGTACTCACGGTACTCAATATAGATAAGGTTCTCATGCAACCAAGTTAAAAACCAATAGAACTTTTATTTTTATTTAATAAGAGTTTATATTTAATAGAATTTATTTAGTACTCCCTACTCATACTATAGACTATACTGACTATAGTCCATAGGGTATACAATATACAAGTATTATCATCAACGTCTATCACATCTAATTAGTTATTACCTGTATATGTTTATGATTTCATTTTTAAAACAATAGTAATAATGAACACGAAATTAAGCATATTATTTTATATACCAACGTGTTTTTCATATTAATAAATAATACATAGATTTTTTTTATATAAAATAGCAATAAATATCTGATGGAAAATATATTTAAATTTTCTAAAATCATACAAAATATTTTTTTATTATTTGCCTGACTTAAAAAAGACATTGAATCAAATGCCTAGTAATTTAATTAAATGACTAGGCATTTAACTAAATGTCTAAGCATATAGTGAAATTACATTAACATTAAATTCTTTGACTATATGCCTACGACATATGCACTAAAATGTTAAAATATGCAGGGAAAATGAAAAATATGCATACAAAAATTAACAAAAAAAAAATAATTTTTTGAACATTTAATTAATACAATATATATAATTAATATATTTTAAAATAATGTAAAGTAATAAATAGCAATAAATACACGAATTATGACATGAAGCACACACAAACGGACTGTTAATATTTTAACTCGACTGAAATAGTGAAATAATGTCAATGGTCATCATGGTCTAATCAATATTTTTTTATATTGGTATACAAATTTTATTTTCCCAATTATTGATCTAAGGTCATATTTGGGAAAACAGTTGGTACCTACAAGTACACCTATTAATTTATTTTGATATTAATCGAAACTATAAAAATATAATATTTTTTTCTTATATTATAATATTATATATTACAAAAAAGTTTTTAAAAAACAAAACAGCATCAAAATATGCAGTAAAAGATGAAGTATGCAATTAAAATTGTAAAATAAGGCCTTACATTCAAACAATGTCGAAATACGCAAAAATATGAACAAAAAGTATCATTTTTTTAATTGTTATGTCATGAAACAAATTGTTTGCTCACTTAGCATATTTTATGATCAACCAGAATAAATATATACACTTTAACTATTTATATATTTCCTATACAGTTGCCAATATAATGGATACATTAGGCTTTGGAAAGACATTCTTCTTAATTATTTGATATAATTTAAAATTTTAATTATTTGGTTCTAGCGGCAGCCTCGCAATGCTGTCTTCGTTGCAGGTGGAAAAAGATTGAGACCATACGAAACACCCATAAGTATCGGGATGAAGGACAGAGACAATATATACGTTTTTCTTGCATTTAGAGTCCGCAGATCAAAAAACAAATGTTCCAATTAATATCTACGCTTGTCGCTTAATAAATAAACCTCAAATGCTCAAACCAACATCACACAAATTTTTTTTTATTATCACTGCTAAATCTCATGTCTTATAAAAATAAAATATGATAGTATTCAATTATTTTTTTATTATTTAGTGCCAAACCATAGAATTTGTATAAAATATTTTACCGAAACTTTCTTTCAAATATCATGTCAATTACATAAGAAATATATCATATAAAAATTATTCTTATTAAAATGTATATATAAAGATTTTTGAAATGAGTCAGGTTTAAAATTCTGTAATACTAAGATATAATTTCTTAAACTGTAAATATTTTTACAAATTATTATACGATATTATCAATTGTCCTGAAATTTTCGATCATTAAAATGTTAGAATTAACCTATATAATTCCAAAAATAATGCAACATTGTATCTTTACCTGTTTTTTTTTTCAAAATATATGCTATACTACTTCTACAAATGTGCTTGTGTCAATGTCTGCAGGTAATTCAATTAAAGATTTATATTGATTGAATACTACCTTAGCTGTTTAGTTTGTCAAATGGTTTGTATGATGAAGTTTTATTTTTATTTTTAGCCAATTAAGTATGTTGTTTATTTTATTGTATCTCTAGTTTAATGACCTTATTTATATTTATGTACAGAGTTTATCATAAACATGAACAACATTTAAATGAGTGGTACATACATACCTCTACATAAAAATTAAGAGAACTTGTACCTATATTAAATGAAACAGTTTGAATATATTATAATTTGTAAGAAATTAGTCTTAAAATATTTTATAGTAATGTAGTAATAATTAGGGCTGTAAATTTGTAGGAAAGTGCAATTTTTTTTTTGGTGATTGTGAAACATAGCTTTGTAAGTACATAATTTGAATTACTTAACTACAAATCCATTTTTCCAACTTTTATTTTGCATTTTTTTTTTTTACTTTTTTGACATTTTTTTATTGTTTTGGTCACTTTTGTGTATTTTTAGGTAATATTTTCCAATGAGTTCATTTTCCATTATTTTTAATCAAATTCCGTCAATTGACGGAAAAAATGTTTGAAAAAAAATTTTTTTACACAGGCTGTATATGCGTCTATAAAATAAGGCGATTGCTAGATAACTATGATTGCTAGATGTTATTTATTTCTAACGTTTTTAAGAAATGTTTCAGGTGAATAGCATTAAGTATAGAAAATTAAAATGCAATCAACATTTTTATTAAATTTTTTGGGCATGTAATGTACTATTGTATAATATCCTGTACCTAATATTAATATATATATATATATGAAAATTAAATTAAAAATCATTTAAAATGAATTTTATACTTCATTTTTTGCATTTTAAGTGCATATTTTATTGAAGTTTTTTGGTATTTTTAATGCATTTTTTAAGGTTCTTTAGTGCATTAAATTCACAGCCTTAGTAATAATAATAATAAAGTATCATATAATAATTTATATTATAATAATTTCTTTATTACAGAAATTAATTATTATAAAAATAAAATAAAATTACAAATAAAAGTAATTATATTATATATGGTGTTACATAAGCATGAATGAAAACTATTTAGGGATAACTTAACTAAACAAGTTTGATGATCTAAAAGCAATAAACAAATATCTACCTGTAATATAAAAATTAACAAAAAAGTTACAACATAAAACTGCTCACAGACGAAGTTGTGGTTATTCAGCTAATACCCATAATATACAAGTAAATATACATGGTTTTTTTATTTAAATGTTTACCTTTTCCTGACATCCATATAAAAAAAAACCATTTAAATATACATAACAATATTAATTAATAGATATTGAATTACATTATAAATATGAAAAGTGAACATAATTAATATTTAAGAAAGTAATAAAATATTTATTAAAAGCAAGTATGGATCGAAGACCCTATTAAACATACAGATAAATGATAACATAGTAACTATTTATTTTAATGAAATAGAAATGAATCTGGATTATACCAAATAAGCTTTATGGCGATAAATAATTAGAACGGAGAAGAATATTACATTCCCTTAATAATATTTTTTGTCGATTTTGTAATGGGTGATTTTTTTCTAAGATTTTTCTAAAACATAAAAAAATGATTCTGGGTAAGTGTGTTTTGTCTTTGTTGCGCTTGGGCCAGAGAGAAAAAACATACAGTGCTCTGACCTCTTAAAACATTAAGATTAAACTGTTAATTATTCTTTAGTAAATCAATTTTTGATTCTAAAATTATTTGAAAATTTAAATAAATATCAACTAATTATTTAAGTATTAGCTACGACAAAATGAACAGAACATTTTAATGGTTTTAATAAAATGTATTAAACATATTATGTTTGTTATATTTAATAAGAATTTTATTTTAAAATTTTTATTTAGTTCGGTTGTTAGTGTAGATCAATATAAAATAAATTAAAAATAAGTCTGTGCAGAGGTTTTTTTATTAGAAAGTGCCTTATTTCACCTTGATTTAAATTCGGCCTTGAGAATGATACCAATTTTCATTTTGATTTATTTGGAACTTATTATGAGTGTACCTAAAAACTAATTAAGTAAGAATTAAATTGGTTCCTGAAATATTCTAAAATTTCAAACTTTGTTAGAAATTATTTTGATGAAGATAGCATCTAAAGTTAGAGTAAAAGTTACAATTTTAGTTTAATACATAAACTTAAAAACTCGTTTGTTTGATATATGTTAAGTATCACATACATTTATTATTAAAAATTGAACTTAAATTATTGGTGACTACAAAAATTAAATTGAAAAACTGATAATTTTATCAAATTTTTCAAGTAAGTAGGTAATAACTAATAGGTAACCCTAATTTCTTTAAAATTAATTAGAATATCAGTCACTAGAATACAGAATGTATAGCAAAATAAGAAATATACTAAATCTTGATAAACGAACATTACAAGAAATATAACTAACATAAATAATTTAAAAGAAATAATACAGAAAAATGTTTGTAAAATATTAATTATGGTCCGCACTAAGTAGTTTTAGGAAACATTTGGATTTTTGGAATGAAGAAAAACCAATTAGGTAGTTTGTAATTATGTATATATTGTTTTTAACAATGTAGATTAGATTATTTTACACATTAAATTCAACTTGTTAAGTTACAAAGTTATTATGAATCAAAACAACTAGTTAGTGTCCAGCTTTGTATGTACTAGATGTCCATATAGAGATCAGAATTCCAATTTCATAAAAGTTTCCATATTTAATTTGAAAGCACATAATTTGTCTGATGAATTCAAAATAATTAATCAGATCACCAATAATAATAATGAGCTAACTATTCAAATCTGTTTTATTGAGTAAGAGATACCTCAGCTTATTCCAATGGCCACTATAAAGAGATGGTACTTGTACTTTATTTTTTTTGGTGGTAATCTTTTTGGAATAAATTCGTTATTAAAATCTATTGAAATCCAAAAATTATACTTAGAACATCCCAGAATCTATAATTTACTATTTAGTGTTTATAATACCTAAAATAATAAGACAAGTATAAACTAAGTACATAATTCGTTACCTTAGTGACAATATCTCGTATCTACATTTTTGATATTTTTCAGGAGAGACTTAAAACTTATTAATTTTTCTTTTAAGTCATTATTAAAAATAAAGAGAATAGTGAAAAATATATAATTTAGAACAGATACGTGATATTACTTTAAAAACTAGTTGTAGATACTTCGTATTACTGATAATATTATAGATCAATTCTTCAACTAGAAATGAATACACTATAAAATAATACAATTTTGTTATTTTTGTGCCTTATTGAGCTTGCATTATCAATCTTAACAAATAATATTATAAATTTATAAAATATAACAAAACATACATTATAACATGTCAAGTTATAATCCCTCAAATATTATTGAACTATTTATTTGGTAAAAATATTCTGTTTAACACAAATTAAAAATAAGTACAATGTAACATCGCAGATAATATAACTAACAAAACATAGTAATTTATTATAAATTGAAATCTCTATTTATAAAATTAAAGCAGTCATATGTTAAGTAATGTTAGGTACCTAACTATCAATATTTAAATTAAAATATTTAGAAATAAAATGATTTATTTAAGAATAATAAAAAAAAAATTATAATAAATTGTGTCATAATATTATCACAAAATTATGAAACATTACCGTCATAAACTCATAACATAACATTATTATAAAATAACATAAAATTGAATAATATTGCATTAAAATCAATTCTGATTTGTAACTAATACTTAAGAATATAAAACAAAATAATAATAAATTGAGACATAATATAATCACAAAATTATAAAACATAACATAACATTATTATAAAATAAAATAAAATTGAATAATATTGCTTTCAAATCAATACTGATTTGTAACTAATACTTGAGAATATAAAACATAACAAAATATTATTATAAAATAAGATACAATTGAATAATATTGCTTTGACATAAAATATACTGATTTGTAACCAATAGTTACTCAATAATATAAAACAAAATAATAATAAATTGTGACATAATATTATCACAAAATTATAAAACTTAACAAAACATTATTATAAAATAAAATTGAATAAAATATTGCAGTGGCATAAAATATACTGATTTGTAACTAATAGGTACTTAATAATAATATAAAACAAAATAATAATAAAATATTGTGACATCGTATTATTATGAAACTTATCTTCTTCTTCTTCTTCTTCTTCTTCAGCTTATCGGCCCATTAAGTGCCATCGCTGCCATCACAAAACCTCTCCATTTCTCTCTATCGTATGCGTCGTCAAAAGATGACGCTTCTTCTATGTTTTTTATATCTTGAGCTATAACGTCCACCCATCGGGTCCTTGGTCTTCCTAATGGACGTTTTTTATTTATTGTGTTAATTAAAACTTCTTTTATTACTTTTCTTATGAAACTTATGAAACAAATAAATTGTATTTTATTGGTTATTATTAAAGTCTAATAACTAGATACTGCCTGTTTTGGCTTTAAAATCTTGAAGGTGTAAAAGTGTATCGTAAAAAGAATGAGTGTCTTGAGGCAAGAATTTTTTTAGTTTTTGTAAGTCTGTCCATTTTGAAAGTGTTAAAGGTAGTGGTTTGTTGTACAAAGGTTCATATTGAAACAATTGATGATCTTGAATTTGACTGGTTTTTTTTTGTCTAAGAGTTTTTTTTTGGAATAGTACAGTATGGTTCATCGAACAACAGCTTATAGTTAATAGTAGAAGTAGATGGGTCATACTGTAAAGCATGGATATCTTTGACCTCAGGCTCGCCTTTACCGATTCCAGGTCTAATTGAAGTGTAGGTTTTTAAGATTTTAAAATCATAGAAATAACTGTGAGTTAATAAAAATGCTTCAAATGGATATGGTTTAACACGAGCCTCAGTGGTAATCCTAATATAATCAGAAGGAAGATGTCTTTGTTTTTTAACTTTCTTTCAATGAGTGAGTGTGCAGAGTCACACTCCATTTGGGTGTGACCTTTTATCAGCAATTTTTGTTCAATTACCACATTTTTAGCAATTGAATAACCTTGAATACTGAAGAAGAGAATTAGACATAACCCAATTTCTACTTTGATATCCGCAGCCATCAGACTATATTATAATAGGCAGGTTTTCAGTACACTTTCTGATCAAGTGTTTAATTAAAATTGTGGCAAACACTGAAGCATCTAAATCAGCTTCCCCTTCGTGCCACCAATAATTACTGCACTCTCCTGTGACTATGTTATAAATTGTCAAATTATGGTATTTCAATTTCATGTTATAGTACAAAGAACTCACTTTTAATGAAGGGCATAATTTTACAGCCTGCATATCAATGGTAAGAACGTAGCATTTTTTTTTCTTGTGCATTTTTTTTATCTTTTTCTTTATCTTCTCTAGCTCTGTTTTTATAGGCTATATGTTCAGCATACTCTTCTTCAGATATTTGAAAATTGTTATAAGATGTATATAAGTCACTCTGATCATTTTTTGGAATCAATATAGAAAGTTTGTATTCTTTCATATATTGAGAAAAAAAGCACATACTAAAAGGCAAAAGTTGGTCCTCAATACATTTTTGTTTGTAGCAATAAAAAACTTCCTGTATACTATTAAATGGCCCTTCTAAATATAACCTATCTGTTCTTTTTCTGCAATAATGTGAAGGCATTTTGGGCAATGTATTGAACCAAGTTTTAATGTGTTGCAAACGTACATCAAATGAAGCTCTTCTGGCTTTTCCTTGAGGTGATATCTCAACAATTTCACCTAAAACATTACTATAGGAAGACATTATATTTTTTTTTTGGTAATCTATTGGCTGATCCTTTTACGCAATTGTATAACATACACTCCCTAATCCCTAAAGTACCTAAAAACATTTTCTTGCATACAGGTAATGGTGGTGAGTTTTGATATTTTAAATGGTACAAGTAAGTGTTCGATCGTCTACGGTTTTCTGTTGATCCAGTTGTGTTACATTTAGTATTTATTTGAGTAACTATACTTGATACCAATGTTTTCTCTTCATCCCAAGAAGCTTTCCAAAAGGATGAAAATATTTTTGATCTTTGATTTTCATCAAAGGTATGACAGAAACGACTATTTGACTTTTTACAACATTTTGAGTTGCACGTAGGTTGTATCTTCTTGGCCGAACGAGTAACATCTTGAGATACTACATTTCCCTTTCTCTGATAGCCTATATAATCTTCACTATTTATCCTCAATTTCTGGCTGGTTTTTCTTTTCCACTTATCTGGTCTAGGTTTTATATTACGGTTATTATTTTTTATATTTTGTGCTACTTCCTGTACCTGTTCCATATTATTATCTATATTGTCAGTTTCCTGAATGTCACTTTCAATAATAGGATTATTCAAGTCAAATGGAAGTGTTATGATTTCAACATTATTTATGTTTTCATTTTCTTCAGTGAAAACATTGTGATCTGCTTGATCAAGGTTATCTTCATTAGAGAAACTAAAATATTCTTCAATAGGGATAGCTAGTACCTCATTTTCAGTAAAATCAACATTCTGACCAGAGTAGGAGTTTTCATCGAATACTATTGTTGAAGATGCAATAATATCTGCAAAGCTAGGGATAATATTTTGTTCATGGTCTCTACTGTTATTATTATTTTCACATGACAAATCAAGTATTTTTTGTAACCTGCGCTCCGCTATAATACCTTTGCAAAAATAATAATAATGATGATAATAAAATTACAATAGTAGGTATTATTAATAAAAAGTACAACTTATTTTAATAGTTGGTAAATAACTATGGTAATAATTTTAATATAAATATATTTAACTAATATTTAATAAAAAAATTAAGTATTCAATTCAAAATTATGATTTTCTTTAGAGTTGTAATTCCAAGTAAGTACCTACAGTAACAGTCAACACCACCAACAGAGCAAAGTATCTTTTGCTATCAAATTTAAGTAGTGAATGCAAGAAAAACAGAAATAAATAAAAATGTTATGCAATATTTTCTAATATCAACTTACAAATTTTTCATTGATATCACTATCAGAATTTAATTTATTTTCACATTCTAAAACGCTGATTTTGGAAGAAAACATAAATTTATCCAAGAATTCTTTATTTGGAATGTTTGATAACCCTGGTACCATTTGAGATGTCAGTGTTGCTACTTCAGTTCTTAGACTACTTATTTGGTTCATCATACGTTCGCTCATTAAGCGATTAGTTATCATCTCATTCAGGATCTTTTTTAAAAAAATACCATGCTGGGTTTCTGATACATAATTACAATTTAAATTATTTATTTATTTATACCTGGGTATTCTCCTATTTCATTTGATGATAGCAATTTATCACAGAGCAATTGTTCACAAATATTTTACCCACACATTAAAACATGTGTAATTATTAAAATATACCATTTTTTCAGTCTACACAACATTTTCCTAGCATCCTGTGGCAATATTAATATTTTCAAATAAAATATAATTACAGCTCAAAAAAACTTTATCAATAAGTTACACAACAATTGAAATTTCATAATTTACAATCATGCGAAGATTTATTTTTAAAAATTAAACTAATATGATAATACATATGTTTATAGTCATTAAATTAAATATACAAGTCTAATGAGACATAATTTTATGATTTGCTTTTTTATTTTTATTATTAAATAAGTCATTATATGCATAGTGAGTACTTTTTGAATATTTTTTAACTACATTCATAAAATAATTTAAATAGATTTTTTTAGTTATTGTGCAAGTCCAAGTTGCAATAGGCATTTTATAAACATGGTTTTTGAGAAATTTTAGTTGACTGGTCCAAGTTTAGCATTAACCATACATACAACTTCGGGGAAAATAAAAAAGGCATTTCAGTTAAAAAAATATTAGGGTACTTATATGGATATACAATATGAGGGTAAACGTTTATCATAAACGTTAGATATGTATAAAGAAAAAAAGTTAAATATATATGCAAGTCTGAAGTGCACAACTGCACCAAGTTGTAGTATTAATGATAATTAGATAACATTATTAGTAAAATTACTAGTTAATTAGTTAGTTATAAATTATAATTGACTATTATCTTACCTTCATATGTACTTAAATTTGTGTTGGTGTCATTTGAAGATACTAAGATTTGTGTGGTGCTTTGATCATTTTGATATCCTTCAAAATTCGGTACCTATTTTACAATAAAATGAATAATAACATTTTACAATCATAAATAATAACATCTTTTATCACATAGATTAGGTATAATTTATTAATATATCTGTATATGAATTAATTACCTGTTCTAAGATAGATGTTCCTGTAAAATGTTGATCTGCTGTAATTGACATAATATCTGTGTTTATCAGATTAGTAGATAATAATTGTGGTATGTCATTTATAAAATCCATGTCTTGCGAGCCTATCAACAAACTACTAGATATAGCTGGAGCAATAACAAAACCAGTTTCTAGATACAAAACATTTAAATTAAATATTAACCATTACCGAAGTGCTGTCGCTATATGTTTTTTTCAGAATCAGTGTAAATAATAATGTGAAACATATCCTTAAAAAAAATCCACCATACCTTCGTCTTCTGTGCTATCAGTATCAGATACTGGAATCATGTGTCTTTTTTTGCCATTTGTTCTTGTTCTTCATTATCTGATGTCATTACACGTAATAATAAATTGAGGGGTGACAATCCAAAATGTACTATTGGTATTTTTCATAATTTTCAGTATGGCAATTTTGTGTTTTGAAGCTCTAGAATGTCGTACATTTAACAATGAACCATCAATAAATTTTTTCCCAAAACGTACTATTACCAAAAATCATTTTTTAGTTTATGAAAACTCATTTGATTTGATCAAAATGTTGTATATTATAGTATTAATTTTATAAGTATAGGGTGTTAGAAATGTTTGTTTACTATAGGTAATAGGTTACATTTTATGTTACATTGTTACACAAAAGAGTACTTTAATTATAAATATATGATGTATGATTACAAATTTTCTTAATAAAAATAATAAAATATAAATGGAGTAAAATCTTAGAAAAATTATAATTAAAACTTATACAAAATAATTATAGCACTGTCCTTTTTTTATTATATTTAAATATAATACTATCATTAAAAAAAATAACAAATCAGTCCATTAGTCATCATCTGGTTCATATAAAGCAATATTTTCATCAGGGCCTTCATCATTGCCACCGTTCTGAAATATATCTTCATAAAACTGTTTTGTATGTAGAGGTTCTTCAAAAAATCTCATGAGATTTTTAACGTCTTTCTGTTTTGGTAATTTGATGTGATTTGTTTTTGGAAGCTGTATAAGATTATAAGTCATTGATAAAAGCTTGCTATTTCTTTTAACAACTTCTATTTTATCTAGAAGTCCTTCGTATGTTGCAGAAATTTTCACTGTATGTTCACCCTTAATATAAGTAAATACTTTTTTCTGTGTTGATTTGAAATCATTTTTACTTTTCACTATAGTTTTAATAGAAGTTTTGTAATCAAAAACATTAAAATCTTTGTTATAAATGTTTATTGTTGCATACTTTTCAAAAACTGTATAGTATTCTTGTAGCGAAATAATTGTTTCTTTCTTATTAAGTTCTTTCTCAATCCGTCCAAGGTCAGGAGGCATGTAACTGTGCCCCCCACTGGAAAAATGTGATTAATATTTTTAAATACCTCAGACTTATAGTTTATGTTATGTAGTAAAGTCAACATTGTGTACTGATTCTTGTTTTGTGCAGAACAAGAATCTGAAAATAAGTTTAGTGTTGTAGGGACACTTTTACCTGAGTTGAGTAAGTTATACTCTAATTTTTCAAGAAAATCTATCAAAGCCGAACATATTTTATTGGGCCCTCTGCCACTTTCTGCTTCATTCCAAGTATAAAGAAAACATTTATCATTCAATTGATCTGAACCAGACACTACAAAAGCCAAATTAGAAATCCAAACTTGTCTGCTGTAGAAAACATCAGTAACAGACAATTTAGGAAGTGGTTGTGTTTGCATCATATAAAACGAACAATTAATAGAATCATTAGTTTGTTCTTTTAGTAGCTCAAAAAAACGTTTTGCTTTTTTCTTGTGTAAATTCAACTCCAATGTAAGTATTTGTTTTATGTTTTCATTTTTTTAAGCCTTCTTCTGCTGATTGATGTAACTGAACTATAAGTTTCAGCACAGACAGTTGTGTTTACTTTATTAATAGTGAACATGGATGGTATTGAATATGTTACATATATCCTACTTGATCGGTCTGTTTTTTTTCTTTCAGTTCGTTTTGCCATGCCTATACTCATCAAAGTTAATATGTATTTGTCTTGTTCAATTTTACTGGTTAAACTACAAAGATAACTTTTAAATGCATCTAAATCATCTTTTGTTAATTCTGCATATTTTATTTTTTGAAATTTTTTTATGGGCGCAGCGAATTTCATAAGTAAAAGGTAGACTATTTTTTTTAAATTGTTTATCTTTTTTCTTATTATTTATGCTTTTTTTTGCGCCCAGTTTCAACAACTATTTTAGGATTAATATATTCAGGATCAATAACAATAGATGAATCTAATTGTAATCTAACATTTGGTGCTTGCTCTTCAGGAAATAATTGGTTTATTATTGGAATTTCATTTTGAGTAGCTTCATGTTCAGGTGTAAAAGGTGCATTACATTCTAGTACATCTAATACCAATCTATCAGTTGGTTCATACTCTTCTGGAATTATTTTATTTTTTGTTGGTGTTTCGCTTTGGGTAGGTTCAGATACAGAAGGTATATTATATTCCGAGTGTTTGCAGCCTAGATCATAATATGGTTTTACTTGGTCAGAAATTATTTCAATAACAATTGGAGGGTTAGTCTCATTAAACAATGCTTTTGGTTTTAATTCATGTAAACATGAGTTATCGTTTCTAATAACTATTTCCATATCCTCAAGGTCCAACTTTAAATCTTGTGATGCTGGTGACAACAGTTCAATGATTTTATTATCTGGTTTGTCCATTTTTATTGGTGATGTTAAGTCAGGCGAGTTCTAAATAAAAATATATGCATAAATTATAATATAAGTAAAAAAAAATTGTAAGAAAAAATTTGTTTTTCAAATATATTTATTTTTATAATTTTATACGATTAATTTATATATGGGTAATATTATAATATTATATTAAGTTATTGAATGCATAGAAAATCTAATAAAATAATGCAACATTAAAAATTAATTAGTTAATGTAATTAATATAATTATTTATTTATTTGATGATAATAAATAGTGTGTAATAATCTAAATGCATATTAATACATATAATAATATATAAAAATACTATACTATAGTTACTATAGTATACTATTATACTATACTATAGTTTTTAAAACCAGTGTTATTTCATATTGACAATTTATACAATTTTTTTAGTATAGTATTTTTATATATTATTATATCTATTAATATGCATTTCGATTTTAGATTAAAATTGTTTTAATTTGTCAATATAAAATAACACTGGTTTTAAAAACTGTTATTGTCTGTATTAATTGTTTGAAACACATTGACAGTTCCAAAATGTGTATATTTTAGATATTAATTGTATATGTTATCAAATTATTTCCTATATAAACTAAACAAAATATTAATACCAGACATTTCCTACATGAAAATTATCACATTTATATTCCTATAGGTAAGATAATCATAATTAAATTATATTATTAAATAGGTAAGCATAAGAATAATTAATTCTAATGTAACTGTATATTCTTACATGCACTGTTTAATACCATACTATAGGATCATCGCTAGTCACAGATCTAATAGGTGCACATTTACAAAATTTGATTGTGCTAGTGGTCAACTTTTCTGTATTATTTTCCAACAGCCAGTTTATGGGAAGAACACTATAATCTTTAGTGTCTGTAAATTTTGCCACGACCCATTTCATTGACCAATTCTGAATTCATAGTAATTAAGTAATAAGTTATGATTGACAATACATTTACAACTAATAAGACCCGTTTCACAGCCACGTATATGGTTCCATAATTTCAGTTTCCATAATCCACATCTATAATCACTTAACTGGCTATGGCACGTTTTTTTCGTCGGTATGGTGCATATGAACTTAATTCTTAAAAATGTAAACTAAAAACGTGCGCAGGTCTATTTCTTCAATACCAATTTCACTACATTGGTTAATTTATACACGTCGATGGCACTTTTTCTCTCATCGGTATCGGTATGGTACTAAGGTGAGTATTGACTTAAACAACATATCATACGCGCGTTTTTAGATTTACATCATTTAGGTTCGTATACGCCGACGGCTTAAAACTATATACGCGACAACGTGCAGTCGTACGAACTTAATTATCATTATTTATCAATATAAATCAAAAACACGCGTAACGTAGGCGTAAGCCCTAAGGAGGGTTATTCGCCAGAAGCGTACCAGCCATGCAAATACTTAGTTCTAATTTATAAATAATAATGAAGTATGAAATATGAAATAGACCTTACCTTTTTATTCACATTTTCCATAGTGTTCGGAAATTAAACTATTTATTTAAATAACTAATGACAATTCAAAACACTTTATACAAAACAAATTGACGTCGTATTACAGGATTCTCACCAGTCTACACTGACCACAGCAAATATACCAAACAACGTATTTATAATTAAAAGTACTTCTAAGTTATAACTGCGCTAGAGACGGCTAGAGCAGACAATGAGAAATGACGCTGCCGCATGCGGCATTGCCGGTCACTACTCACTGATAGCCCACGCGTATCCCACGTATTGACGTATTACTGCATTATATCTATATATAATGTATAGATTATAGTGTTTATAACAATATTTATTTTTAGATATAACGATAAAAAATTACCCATTATTGTCGGGTCGGCTGGAGCTATTGTGTTTTACTGAAATATTCCCGTAACATATTGGGAACATTACTATAATTTACAAAGCAATGTTTCTATAAAACCATAAATGTAGGTCTGTATGGAACGTTTCGTTGTAATGTTTATATTGGAACTTAAAATGTATATTCCTGGAATGTCTGTAACAGTTTCTTGCACGGTGGGTATATACTGTTGGGCGATATAATTACGTGATCGTCGGCCTATATTCTGTCGCCTTGGTCGTGGCATTTTTTACGAATAAAAATCAATCTGTATTGTTAATGTATTAATATGGCCATACGAATAAATAAATAAATATGATGAAATAAATATTACAAACTAAAGAATAATGAATTATTACATAGAGTAATTTATAATAGGAAACAAACCAATTAACGATACCATGGATGTATATAATAGGTATTGGAGTACATAGTATAAAATATGTACTATATATATATAGTATACTAGCTGAATTATCCGGCGTTACCCGGGAAAAACTCGTTTTAGGTGTAAAACGCTGTGAAAGCAATGTCTTTTTAAATGTAAATCATATTATATTTTTAAGTGTAGCCACATCTGTCTAGAATTGAAGTAGTGCTGTTTGGACACCCCCTTCCATGAAGCCGTCCAATTTTTGTAAATTAATAACCATATTACTTATTGTATAGTTTAATAGCTGGTTTACCCGGCTTAGCCCGGGAGTTATTCAACTATTTTATATAAAAAAAATGAGGATAAAAAAACTACTATTTTCTTATATTGTACCTTTTTTATTTATGCTGGCTATTACCCAAATTCCAAAAATTAATCAGCCAAAGTGTGTTTAATGACCAATACAGTATGTGATTATTCTGGATTATATTACCCAAACAAATCATAATCTCAGCCAAACAAAATATTTTCAGTAATGGGTACTGAGAAAATGACCAAAATGTGTACATAAAGAATACATTTTACGATTCTTCACACGATGATTCATATTAGAATAATTTATATTAATGACGATATTTCATATTTTATAATGTTCTGTGTATGTGTATACTACAAATATATAATTTTCTAATCATATTTTTGAGAGCGTACCTTTGTTCTAAATAAAATACAATGTCGGTTTTCAGATTTAAAAAATTACTTTCATGCACGATGATTTTAGTTTTTTAAATCAAAATGGATAGCCAGGTTACGACTTTGTTATTTTTTAGAACATTTGGACCATTCAATATCAGTAAATGATTAGGTGTACGTACACCTAACATTTCCAATGGTGAGTGGAGTGATTAAAAAAAACATATACACATGTATTTATGTATCATACAACGATTTATACCTATATTATATAAGTAAAAGGTTGCACTTTGACTTTTCTCATAACTTTGGTTAATTTCTCTGTTTTTGGTCCAACTCACAACAATATCTAGTGCAAAAAAATTATATATCCGTTTATTATTTTTTGTTTTTTTTTAAAAAAAAACAATATTTAATAATGGTAATTATAATATAAGCAATCTAAACATTGACTAGTTATACTTAATAACCGTCCAAATCCAATAATAGTTTTACCGTTTAAAATTATAATATGTAGATTAAATAATTAGGAAGTTAACTAATCTTTTCAAACCGTTAAGTTAGGTTAGTATGAGAAAATATAGGTTTTAAAATTTAAAGTTACATTTACCTTTATTTGTAAACAAATACAAATCATTTCCAGGAATGTAGTTTGGTACTCGACGAAACAGTCGTATATTATCAGAAATTGGACACTACGGTATCATAGTTATTCAATTGGTTATTTTGTAATTCTATAAAAAGATAAATTAAATTAATGAATTTAATATTGTTTTGTCTCTATAATATGTTAAATATTAACATCTAGCCTAAAAAAAAGACAACCCACCTTTCATCTCATTTTTCTTTTACATCTTCATAATTAACTAATTTTTCATATTATGTCAAAACATTTATGACATGGTTTCAAAAAAATGTGGTGTATTTTAATAAAAATATGTTTCTAAAAAAAGTTCTTATCAATTTATTGTATTCTCGACTTCAGAAAAATACCATCCAACTCAATACATAGAGATAAATTCAACCAGACATACATCATTACGATGAAAAGAACAACAAATCATTGAGCACACAAAACCGTATCACATCATCCAACAGACATAGAAATAAAACTGTATGAATAATTGTTGGTATATGGCCTAAATATTCTTTTTTATAACTATATACGGTTCAAATTTTAACAAAATTCATCAAGTAGGTCATACCACATGCTTTTAAGTAGGTACATCATTAAAAATATATTTTTTTTTTTGTAAATGTAAATATTTAACATGCAATTCAAAAGTACCGCAGTGGCTTTAAGTATTTTGAACAGATGTATAATCGTTGTTATACGTTGGAAAAGTACAATAGGATGAATAAGTTTTTGCTAAAAAAAATAAATTAAAAATAACGTAACGATTTCCTTTAAAAAAATCGAGTATGTATTTATAAACAACAAGGTTTTGATGATATTAATATTTGAAATTTGCTATGGCGGACAAATTATAATTATTCTACTATATATTTTGTACTAATCACATATAATAGCAGTGCAAAATTCTCCAAAATTAGCATTTCATTAAAAATTAAAACTATTTTTTTTGCTAAACATCATGTGGATTTAATACAAAACGAAATGATATGCAAGTCATCATGATCTTGAAATCGAAAACATTTTATTCTATTTCGATGTGGGTTTCTGATGTAATTTTTTTTCTGTTTTTGATTTCGGTTTCTTATATGATTATTAATTTTTTCCGACATCGGTTTTGGTTTTGAATATATATATTTATTTTTCCCTAACTACGTGAATCGGTGCAGGCTAACAGTGGAATTTTACCACTTATACTAAAATAATAACCTGTCTATATTTTATATACTTTCAATAAGCGTATCAACATTTATCTATAAATCTGTAATATTATTTAAAGATTATATACATGTACATCGGTATTCAGTGATTTCGGAATTGCATTCTTAGATCCATACAATAAATTTGTAATTGCACTGACAACGACACTGGCGTCAGTACCTATAACAATATTAACAATCCACAATTTGTTATTTAATGAGATCAGATTGTCAATATTTAATATATTATCATATAGATTTTGGAAAGGTCCTCATAGAGATATCGCGATTAGTTAAATACTTAAATATGAAAATACCACAGTTATTTAGGATTATTGATTGATGAAATGGGGACTAGGACATTTCGCCGCAGACCGTTTCGTCGAGTACTTTTTCGCGGCCGGACTAATCACCGAGACCGCTTCGCCGCTGAACTATTCGTCGCTAATAGAACCTCCCCACTTTATATATCATTAAAAATTGATATACAACAATGCTAAGAATTTGCAATAACTTTTGATTACGGGCCGGGTACGAACTAATAACTATGATAGGCCGTGCAGCCCGGTCACCGAATTACTTCATGTTACACCCTTTCTCACCGACCAACCAATGTATTTGTATTTATGTTTGTATAGCGACTGAAGAGATATGGACGGGATCACCGAGCAAAACTCGAGAGCGCTATTGTGTGATGGGTGTCGGGTGTGCAGGAGTCTATTATACACATATATATCATATATGTATTAACACTATTAGAAATAATAAATAATAATCTAATTAAAAATATATGCAATAAAACATTTTAATCCAGCCCCCCCCCCCCCGTGCGCCGCTAGGAGACAGTCAGCAGGCACAGGTCTCAGATGATTAGCTTCCTCCAAGTTAATCTGAACAGATGCTGGGCGGCGGAACAGCTTATGACGCAGACGGCGAACGAGATCGGGGCCGACCTCTTCATCGTATCAGAACCTGCTTCACAGTACGGTCACGATGATAGATGGTGCTTCAGCACGGACCGCAAAGCCGCCGTGGGAACATCGCAAC